CCCCCCCCCCCCCCCCCCCCCCGCCCCGGGCGCGGCGACTACTCCTCGGAAACAGCCGAGGTAGACGGCGACTTGCGGCGTATGCAGAGCTCCTTTCCCGCGCCTGCGTCTATCAAGCTCAGCCGGATAGCGGCCTCCAAGTCTCTCGCGAACGCGTCTTCGTCGTCCAACTCGCCCTCGTCCGCGCCCTCCTCGTCGCTGCCGCACACGCAGACCCCGACCTTGTCGCACTCCTCGCCGCCGCACGGGCCGTACGCGAAGTGGGAGTCGGGGTCCTCGGCGTCGTCATCGGGGTCCTCGTCCTCGTCCTCGTCCTCATCATCGTCATCGCCGTCGTCGTGCCGCACGGGCCGCAGGTTCCACTGGAAGTGCGTGTCGAACAACGACGCCGCGTCCGCCGTGCACGCGGGCAAGTCCCCCTTGACCACGTACGCGACGCACCCGTCCTGCTGCAGATGCGACAGCGAGAGCGCGAGGTGCGCGGGCAGGATCTGGCAGGGCCGCGGCACCCGGTCGCTCAGGTTGATCCAGTGCTTGCCGAAGCGGCGTAGCGTGAACCATCGCTTGTGGTGGAGGAGCAGGAACGCCTTTTGGTCCTGCGGTGGCAGCGAGCGGCGGCAGGATACCACCGGTTCTAGCGACAGCTTGAAGGCGTCGAGCGCAAAGTTGAGATGGTATGAGTCTAGCGTCTCGCTGCCCATCTGCGAGAGCAGCGTCTGCTCGTCAAAGTAGGGGCCTTGCAGGAGAGCGTTGAGGCAGTTCTGTTCCGCGCGCCAGTGGAAGAGAGGCGGTCAGTGGCTCTGTTTGTGTGCGAAATAAAAAAAACTGGCGCCCCGTTCGCGGAGAAAGGCTCGGAGGACGGGGGCGTACCGCTGCGCTGCCGTCGAGTGTCACGCGGCGCGGGTGGAACACCAGCTTCAGAGCGGAGAGCACCTGTTCTTGCGTTGGCTGCGAGTAGCCAGAGGGCGCGTCACTGAGGGAGAGCTGCGCAAACGAGTCCCTGGCCTCGCCTGAGCCGTCGCGTCCGGACATGGTTGAGTTTTGGGACGTGGACGAGGAAGAGGGGGGGGGGGGGGGGGGGAGTGGTAAGGGAAGGAGGGGGTGTGGGACGGATTGGGTGCGGGAAGGACGTCGTTTCTTAAGTGCCCGCAACAATGGAATCAGTGGAAGCCAGGTCGGGATGGAAGGAGGCGAAGTTGCAGAGTGGTGGTTCGGGAGATAGGGGGAGGGGTGTGGAGAGGGGAGGCGGCAAGTGGCAGTAGGCGGTGGCGGTGAGAGCGTGCAGTGTGGTGTGTCCTGGGCATTGTGGACGGAAGGTAAAAAGTAAGGTAGCGAGGCATGTAGGAGACGGGCGGGGGGAAACGGAGGTAAAATAACGAAAAAATAGCCATGTTTGAAGTTTGCACACGGCGCCGTTGGAGGGGTACCCCCAGGGTACCTTCAACGCATGTGTGCCGCTCTGTCCACCGCCTGACTGACTTGTGCACTGTACAGTACGAGTGAGTGTACTGTCTGTACAGCACATGTGTGCCTCCCTGTCCACCGCCTCACCACCAATACTGCTGTACCGGCCACGGCACTATGCCAGTACAGTACCACCACCCCCCGCCCTCCCCCCTCAGCCTCCGACCAAAAGCTCTGTCCACTCACGGCTCCGATGTGATCAGCCTCTCCACATCCCGCCACTGCCGTCTCAGTCTCGCGTTGCCCTCCACCCGCTTCAACACTGCGCCCGCCATAGCTCGACCGTACACCTGCCGTGCCTGCCAAAGGAGCACAGCACACCGCTCACCGTCCCGTCGAAAGTGCTCGAGCGCTTCAACCAGCCGAGACACCGCGTAGCCAAGTTCCGTATTGCTCTGTAACCACCCCTGGTCTCGCAGTCGGTCGTCCACAGCCACGTGGAAGACCACTTTTTGCCACTCGCGCACGTTGCGTTCGAATCTTCGCCGCTCGTCCACTCTTCCAACCTGCGACCCATCCCCGACTTCAACCCGCCCACTGCGCCAAAATCCTCCCAGTGTCCCACTTCCTTGTGTGAAGCAGTTGACCAGCCTCGTCACGCACACTCGTCTTTCGAGATCCCGTCCGTTTTGCTCTACCATCCCCAGCGCCCCCATCACCCGCTCTTGCACCCACCAGAGAGTCGAACGCATCTCTACCGCCTCCCCTTGCCATTGCCGCCCTTGCAGTCGTTGCACCCCTTGTCTGATTGGTCCTAGCCATTCCTGAATCCACCGCGAATCGCACATTAGCCTACTCGTTCCTTGTGTCTGCGCCCATACACATAATAGATGAGAATAAATACACACCCCATCCCGCACATTATCCATGTCTTGCCCATACCCTATCCACCCGCCCGCGCACTGGCGCAGCCCTTGAACCAATTGTTGTACATCCCCAACCGTCTGCGCACGTGCAACATTTCTCACTATGTCCACCACACACTGAACCGAAGCTGGCACTGTCCATTCTCCGTCGTTGTTCGCTCCTTCCTTAGCTCTGTTGTCTCCAAGCGCGTACACTTGTGATGCCCATCGACCCATCAACTCCGCATACCCACCCAGTCGTCCTACAGACCCAACCAATCTTCGAATCATCATTCGATATTCATTATCGCGTTCTTCAGAGAGGTAGGCGATTCCTGCTGTTAAAACACCAACCAGAGAGCCCTGCATCGTCCTGTTGGTCATTTCCACAAAGTACCTTCCCCAATGCCCAGCAAACACCTCGCTCCAAAATTGAATTCTTGCGCGATTCTCAATTCTTCTTCTAGAAGCTCCTCTCTCTCCCCCACCTTGCCCTTCCACACCCAACTTCTCTCGCTCAAATCCGCATAGACGCCCTCGTCGTAGCACCTCTACCGTCTTCCGTCTCTCATCCTCGCCTACTGGACTCTCTCTTTGCCATTGACTTACTTCCATCAACTGAGCTAGACCTTGAGCCGCGCTGCGTTTTACTTTCACACTCAAATCGCTCGCCTCATGGCAAACATCGTTCGCCAGGATGTTCACCAACATTGTTTCTAAGCTTGACTTCTTCTCGAAAGACTCGATCTTTCGTTTTAGTTGCTCTGATATGCCACCATCCCTGTGATCGTTAGTCTTCTTCATGCTCTTGCTCTGCAAATGGGCAACCAGCCTCAATTCATTCGCAATCACACCCAGTAGTGCCGACAAAAGCAATATCTTGCTGCGATTTGTTGACTCTTCTGGCGCAGACCTCATTTGTAACGCAAGGTCACCGGCAAGGCGGGCAAAACTCGGTACGCTCACTTCAGACTTGTCTACGTACGACATCACACCCGCCTGCGCTCCTGCGTCTCCTTCAAACGCTTTCGCAATGAGCAAATCTGTTGCATCTCGAATACTCGAAAGCGCCATCAGTGCAAGATTAGTAAACACAGATTCCTGGACTCGCAGTTCCTCCCGATGCTGCACTGGAATACTTCCCTTCTCCCTTGACTTCCTCACTTTGCGGAAAGACCCGATCACACTCTGTGCTAGCCAGTTTGTATACACATGACTGCTGCCCCCCTTAGCGTGCAGAGCACGACATCTCACCCCAATAGCTTCTATTGTAGCTTTCCAACATTGCTCATCTTCCTTGGCATGTATAGCATATCGGTCCATAACTGTCTCTATCCTCGGGCATTTTGAAGTTAGAGTTCGACACAGCAAATATTCCCCGTTTGCACTTGTAGAGGCTAGACTGTCCGCAACAGTCAATGTGAGTGCCACGTGATGATTAATAGCACGTGAAAAGCCAGGAGAGGACATATTGACGTTTGTAAAAACTGAACCATTCTTGATTACTCCCGTTGCTCTCTTCATCGCGTTTCCTTCGCCATAGACTGCAAAGCGCCATCCTAACAAAAAGAAACAATCACACGGAGTTTGAAGATTCTCTTCAACATCGCCTGCTGCTAGAGAATTCTCACTGAGTAGAGTCTGAAATTTCGACACGAACATCGCTGGTTCTTTGCAGTAACAATTGTCTTGTTCAAATTTGCTTTGATACGAGATTGCTTTCGAGAAAGAGTTAAGGGCTTGCTCAGTTACGTTCCAAACGCGATGAGCAACCTTAAGGGCCACACAACGCAAGTACGTCAGCAGAACATCGCGTATCCCCTTCTTCTGCCCCAAAACTTGTCCCACCTCACCGCAGAAATGTTCCAAGGTCATGCATACTATGTCCCAATTCTCAGGAATTTCCATTGCCGCAGACACATCTGCAACCGCTCTCGAGTCTCGGATAAAATCCAACTGAATTGAATGTGCATAAGCGACAATCAACGAAGAACTCAGAATCCAATCCAACCCTTTGCGCAACACCGCAATGTTTCCTACAGTTGGGGCCCTTGCCTTTGAAAACAGATTCCTCAGACGTAATTTGCAGACAGTGTTGAAAACAGCTCGCATGCACTTTGTCTCTGGTGATTGGCTCGTACGCAGTATCAATATGGACCACAACGTTGCAACTGCCCGGTGTCGTATCGATACCGCACTGGGATCTGACGCGGATAACACTTTTTCCAACGAGTCAAAGCCGGCCTGGTTTTGCTTCTCACGAAGTGACAAAAGTTCCTCAAGAATTGTCGGACATGAATCAAAACCCGCCTCCGTAATGACGAGTCGCGTACAAATTCCAGTCAGTACCAGTATTTCCACCTCACTTAAACCCCCTGCCGACTTGAAACGAGATAGACAGCTTGATTCTGCGAGTGACAAACAAATGCGCCGAGCAGAAGAGGCGTGGGAGTTCGTTTCAAGTTCATCTTGATCGGCGAGTGAGCATCCTATCAAGCGTTCAGCTCCCATGATCCAATCAATGTACTTCACCTCACTTTGGCAATATTCATCATCTGCCTCGATTCCAGTGGAGGTGCGCAAATCGTTCGCACTCTGGATGGCGGCAAACTTTGGTTGAAGCACATTTCGTACCATGATAACCTTCTTTGGGACTTTCATGGAGAAAACATCCACTTCTTTTTTGCTTTCGTATTCTCGACGAGTGCGTTCAGTTCGCCCAGACATTCTATCATGGCCGGGTCTGTCAACCGCTATGGGTCGGGAACTCTTCAAAACTGCTGGTGTAATAATTTGTGTCCCCTGCCCAAGAACATCAGTATCATCAAACCACAACGGCTCGTCTACTTCAAATGCAGGGCTCTCTTCCTCTCTTGCATGCAGACTTCGGATGTCATTGCCAACGGGCGCATCTGAACAGCTGCGTTCAGATCCCTCCTCAACAGAATAGCTGCGCTCCGCTTGCGGAATCCAATCGACCTCCCGCTTTGATGGTTTACCACCAAGAATCCCAAGGACGAAATTGTAACCATCTTCTACCGTAAAAATTGATTTCGATTGAAGCAGTGCAGAGCTGTGATGGGTTGGCCTCTTGCTATATTCCGATATAGGCTCTTGCTCGGAAATTGTATCAACGTCAATTACCTCTCGGCTCTTACGGATGCGCTGTGACTTGCTCGCCACTTGAACAATTGCGGATGACTCATCATCAATCAGAAGTTTCTGAACTTTGGACAAACCAGACGGTGATTTGATCTCAATTTTTCGCCTTGATGGAGCGTCCCGAGTGGTCTGTACGGAGACATTCTCTAGTCTTTGTCCAGTAGGTCTCTCAAGCTCACAGTCCATGTCTCCAGGACGACAACTTCCCGTACGAGAACAAGTTTTTCCATGCCTCAGACTAGGTTTTGAAATTGTGTCTTGGGGGTTCTCGGAAAATATCTCTGCAGATTTCTTTCCACTGGATCCCTCCAACCCACGCTTCTCTCCTTCATGATTCTGACTAGTACGCATTTCATGAAGAAGACTTGAAGAGACCTCACGCCTGCGTTTTGGTCTGGAGACGTTATCGTATTCATCATCTGTCACAGTCACCACTGCTACAGCCTTGACTACTGGAGGCTCCTCGATTCTAGACCTGGAGTGCGCGCGAGAAGCCGAAACATCTTTCATTCTCTTCGGGCCGTCAAACTGCAAGGCAGACCGCACGTCAGAAGCCCCGGTTCTTGGTCTCTTACGCGTTCTCCGTGGCCTCCCTGATCTGGTGCGGCTCTCGGAAGGCTCCTGTAGAGAAACCTCTTCCGGTGTAGGGGTGCAAGGCGTTGGCTTTTGTGCTGGCGTGATTGTCGAGAATGCATGGGCATTCCTACCGACGGCAATAGACGACTTCTTGACATCTACTACTTCTATAGCGTCGTCTTGCATATTCATTCCTTTCTTCGAACTACTCGCAGGGCTGGCGTTTGAAATAACATCCGCTGGCTTGACGCAGACGGGGCTAATTTCGTTTTCTTTTTGCCTTTTCGCGCACCGTCTCGATGAACGGCGTGGACGACGTCTGCATTCTTCAGGAAGGTGCCTTTTCGATATAGGAAGACGCCCTGCGAAGGTCAGACAGGACTTAACATCAAGTAAAGGCCCGCAAAGAGTGCGCTGCGCATCATACATGACATAATGCGAGGGGTCGGCACTCACTCGGCAAATCAGATCGACCAAAAAAGCTGAACCAAGGCAAAGCACCTCCTGTTTCAGAGCTTTCTTGAGGTCCACCAATCTTGCAGGGTCCAAGCCTGGGGCGGCAATAGCAAACGTCGGCTTGTCATCGAGAGTCTTGACGACCTGTGCCCCGGCAGACACAAGGATATCGGTCACAATTTTGTTGGACGGGGTGGCCATGCCAGCCGCGCCCCGAGGCTTGAGCTGGCCCAGGATGAGTACGCGATGCTCGCACAGAGGACCGTCACCTGTCCCCCTCTGAGCGCGCTGTCGCCAGTATTCAAACGAAGCAGGCCAGACGCGTCCAGCCCACAGCGCGTCCATTTCCGCAGCCAAGAGCGTGGTCTCGTTTATATCGAAGCGCATCTGATGCGGAGTGGTGTCGATGTTGATATTATTTGCCGCAACGCATGCTTCCAGAAAGGATGGCTTTAAAAGCCGGACTTTGGCAGCGGCGGCGACAGCACAAACCCATTTTACACACGGAAGCGGAGCGTCTGCAATAAGATGTGTCGTTTTCGGGTTCCATCTGTTCTCCCCGGAAGTGTCGACAGTAGCTCCCAGTGACGCGAGGGAGCGCCGTAGCTGCCGTTGCTTGCGCGAGTCGAGGCCTGCGCCGCTCAGCAGCGAGAGGACTGGCGATTGCGACGGCATATCTTTCATGATGTGCGGGTCAATGGTCTTGGCGTACGGATGAAATTGTTTCACATTGGCTAGCCCTCATTTCAGGCGGGTGCGATCAAGGATTGACTGGGGCCGGGAGTTGAAGTGAGCGTCATAGTTGTTCCCCACGAGTTTTCGGATGTATTGCTTTTCGGACGGAGGAATTTGGCGCGTTTTTTCTTTTTAACTTCACAGCAATGCAAACCCTTTTGAAACGAAGCATGCTTGAATTCTAGAAAAAATAATAAAATATGAGGTATGAAAGGTTTCGTACCTCAAAAAACAGGTGGGTTGGTCAGACCTCTGAATCTGGGCATCGTCCTGCCAGGACTGGTTGATCACTGGTCAACACTTTTCTCAAGCACAGTACTGTAGCTGTTCTCTTTTTGGCTCTCTTCTTCCCAACCCCTTCTCGCACCAACCTGGAAAAACTCCTAGACCGCCCCTCACATCGTGCCGAAATGTAGGCGGAACAGACCCTCTATGCTTGAACCCCCCCCCCCCCCCCCCCCCAAAATATAAGCAGAGCTACAGCCACTGTACTGCAGGGGGATTCTTGATGCCCCGAAAATACTGCATCCTTGAAGGCCTGTTTCGAACTACACGACGCTCTTTCCCATCACATGCCATGAAAATCTTTAGGATCCGGTAGGGGAGTCTTGCTCGTTCTTCTATTTGGTGCAAATACTGCACACTTGTTTTTTTGCCGTATAAAACGCCTTTGTATTCGGCTGTTTCAACGCCAGAAAACGTGCCAGATTGAGTCGATATTGCGAAACTCTGTTCGCGCAGCATTTTTGATGATGACGGTAGGAGTGTGGATTAGCCTTTCCTAAGATGCAACTGAAACTAGGGGGTTTGCGGGGATTCACTGTAGCCCGATTTATGCTAGGCGACATAAAAGATGCTCAGGATAACAGACTAGGGCGTCATCGACATTCTTTTGCAGGAACAATGATTACCTACACTATTCACACAAACGGAGTAATCTCTCAGCTAGCGCAATTTTTTCTCTGGTGCAAAAGACACATCGATACTGAAAAAGTCTGTCTTTCTATGTCACTGCTGGTAAGACGGTCTTACTAAGACCAGTGTTCATCAATAGATATCAATACTTACAGTAAAAAAGGCTCATTGCTGGGCGCGATGTCGTTGCATTGATGGACACTTCTTAATTATACGAGACCACGAAGTAGACGTGGACATGCACCAATCTACACGTGTGCAGAAGGCGAAATAGCACACGGACAAGAGGTGATTGTGCCATTCATGGCGCATGAATTCAACAATCAACTTTCCGCACCCTTGCCGGCGTTCTCTCACAGAAGACAACTTTTGCTGCTCGCAAACCATACTCACCCCCAGCGCATGGCACCGTTCCGCATACAGGACAATTAATTTCTTCCAGGATTCCCTTCCGAAGACCGCAGAATTTACCTCAGCGGTCAGCCCCTCATCTCCCGTTGGCATCTCCCAAGCAGAACATGCCACGCTCTCCCTTCCCCTACTAATCCCCGATGCCAGACGCAATAACTCCTCTTTCTAGCGCCGTTGAACTTATCTCCCATCTCCCTCTCTCGGCCGTGACGGTGGTCTTGCTAACCGCCTACTGGTCGTTCGAGACAGACTCTGCGCGACAAGCCCTTAACGTTGCGAGCACTCTCGTCGACTGCGACGCGCACTCCGTCTCCTACTACGAGGTACCCATCTCCGTGCACGAGCTGCATCGCACGCCGCCTCAATCCTCCTGGGCGCGCGTGCCATGGACGGAAGCGCACCGCGCCGCAACCGCAGCGCGCAACGTCACACAGGGGGTGCCGTTTCTTCCCGCCATCCGGGTTTTCCGGAATGACGGGCATGGTACCGTGCCTTACACGCACGTAGACACGTTCGCGCCAGGCGCGCTGGCGAGCCATATCATGCTGCACTGCGCGCCGGAGGGAAAGGGGGAGAAGCGGGGCGCGCTGGCAGAGCTGAGCCGGTACACGACGCCGGTGTCGAAAGATCGGTTCGCGAGGGAGATGCGCAAGGAGGAATTTCGGAGCTTGGGGGTGTTGTTCATGGTGCGAGGCGGGGCAAGAGGGATCGTGGACCGGTGGGACGGGAGGTGGGAGGCTGTGGCTAAAGGGGTGGGGATGGTGAACAAGGGCAAGGCAGAGAGGCAGGACCTGCGACAGAGATGGATCCTGAGTATTGTGGATGTGGAAAAGGAAGGAGAAATGGGGGAGCGGAATGGAGTGGTTGATGGGGAGCCGGCAGTAACGCTAGTAGACGTGAGTGGTGATCGGACGGAGACTAGGCGGATTGGGGGGGATGTGTCGTGGGAATGGGTGCGCGACGCTTTGCTAAGGTTCGAACAGGGGTTTGAGAAGAGGAGCAGTGTCGGTGGGGGCACGGGCGTTTTGCCTGAGGAGGGGGACGGAAGGGGCAAGATCCTCTCATTTCTTAGACTCGGGCGGAAATGGCGGCGGTTCTTTTCCAGGGAATGTAGGCTGTGTTTACGATCATACCTGTCAGGGGATATGTCTGGAGATACCAGCGGGATGTGTGACGGGCGGGTTGTAGTGGTGGCGCATGCGCCATGGTGTGGGTTTTCGCAGCGGGTGATGGGTGTGTACCGGCGGTTGGGTGACGAAGGTGTGGATACTGTAATGGTTGGGGAGCGGGAGGTGGGGTTGCTGCCGCGGTTTCTAGACAAGATGGTGGACGGGTTTCCGACAGTGCTCGTGGTGAGAGAGGAGCGGGAGGGAGAGTTTTCCGTGGAAGAGTTTGAAGGACCGCACAATATGGAGGCTATTATGGCGAGGGTGAGAGGGGGTGATGAGGACGCGCGAATAAAGAGATGAAGAGAAGCACTGGTAGATTTCTGGAGGGGTGAGCGCGCGTGAGTGGATTTCTGAAGGGGTGAGGCGTGAGTGGGTTTGGGTGTTATACGCACGTATAACACGTACGGTACAGAGCATGGAAGTAGCGCATGGTGAGAGGTTGCGATGGTGGGTTTAAGGCGGAAGGTCGAGATTGGCTGAGCATGGGTGATTTGCAGGCACATTCTCAAATTGAGCAGCATTAGAGAAATTATGGAGTCACAAAACTTCTGCGAATTCTGTGGATTCGCTATGCCTTGTTGGAAGTGTCCACTAAGGCGCACCGGAGAAACCTCTCCGGTTCACTGCGGTGGCGATGACACGCGACCTCACCTCACGGGGTTTCCCATTGGATATACATGAAGTCTGACAGTGCACCTCGCCTAGCGAGTGGTCAGATCAGTGTAATCCTGCCCCGGCCGGGCTGCTTGGAGCAGGGAACAAATCAGAGTACAGTATACTGTACTCGGCACGGACTCTATTCTCTCCGTCAACCAGCACCCATCGTACAGAATCACCCAGACGAAAAGAGAGGGAGGCAAAAACGAAAATGATAAAATTTCCCTTCTTTAAATGCTCCCCCCGCACCCTCTTACCCTCCCCTCTCACTTCCCCCCCCCCTCTCCTCACCACGCACCCACGCCTCTACCCAAACCCCCCAGGTCCGCTCCAATTCCTCCCATGCGGCGTCTATACTCGGCGCAGGTCGCCCGCCCTCTCACCTCTGCGGGCGGCCGCCCCACGCGCCTGGGTTTCTCCACCGTCGCGTGGGCGCGCGGCGAGGATCTTATTGCCGTCATCTCCGGCTGCGGTGCCGTCGCTGTCTTCCACGCCGACGCTCCCGGCGAGGTCGCCCTTCTCATTGGCGCCAAACGCGCTCCTGCCCGCCATTTGGCGTGGCGCAATGCCGTCGACAAGCCATCCATGCTTGCTGTCGCAGACGCTGCCGGCCGCCTCACCTTCTGGGTTGCCAGTGAGCGCCGCGTCAACGTTTGGACCGCCGCCTCATCCGTCGAGCTTTCTAGTGTCGCTGTCGCTATCGGATGGACTAAGAATTCAGCCGCGCTCACCGCCGTGCTAGCCCATGGTACCGTCACCTTGTGGGCAATCCAGGAGTTCAATTTGAAGCAGGGTTACTGCACTGTCCGCGAGGTGCTACCAAAGAACCCAGAACAGGCTCGCAATATGGGGAATCAGATCCGTTGTGCAACTGTCGCTCCAGGTGGCGTAGATCCGAATAGCGCGGCTATTGTCACCGTTTCTGCAGCTGCTCCAAGAAAGCTTTTGGTGTGGTCCGTTTCTATGACGCAGACGTCGCGACAGGCGAATGCCAATCTCGCTTTTGAGATTCGCCAACTCCCTGCCACGGAGATGGACCCGATCGAGGACGGAAAATGCGTTGCCGTAGCTACTGTCCCGACCAAAGGCATGCTCTTTGCCGTGGGGGATAGAGGAGTTCTCATGTCTTGGTATTTCAATAATAAAAGGGTCCCAGGAGATTCTGGCGTATGGGAGCATGGCGTATGGGAGCATAGAAGCAAGAGCAAGCTGGAAGCGGAAACGGCTGCAGCGATTGAGAAGGGCATACTTCCACCGGAAGACACCCCGCACAATCGAAATGCTGCTATGAACTCCACCACAAGAGCTCTGCGAGTGTGCCGGAGACGAAAAGTATACGCCTTTGATGTTTCCTCCGACTGCAAAACAATTGTCACGTCATCTGCCGCCGGGCTGTTTGTCTGGGATGCTTCAACTTTGCAGGTACGGGCAGGGTACTCCTTAACTGAAAGCATGCGCGAAACAGGACAAGCAAGTCCCTACTGGGGATTGTGCATCAGCCCAGGAAGTGCATCCGTCATTGCATTAAACGGGGAGGGCCGCGTTGATGCGCGCTCGCTTCTTGCTCCCACAACGCCGGTGACTACAAAGATGCTTTCCACAATAGCGGCAGACGCGGCCGAACGTCTGGTGGAGGTAACTTCTGAGACTGGCCTTCGCGGAGGATGGGATGTTCTCGCATCTATAGCGGTTGAAGGCTGTCCAGCAGCAGCGGCAACAGCGAAAGCAATCGCCACAGGAAACGTTAAGGACAATCAAAACACTCCTATTTCCGTCCGTAAGCGCGAGAACCTGAAATCGATACTGATGGGCATTGCCAACCCAGAAGACTACGCGACATCTGCTGCGAAACGTCTTCTTGAGGTTGCAGTTGATGCCATTCGGCATTCTGCTCCAGCACCTGTCAAGATCAAGCTCATGGATGGAGACAAGGAATCCAAGCTCTACACTTCTGCAGAAACTGTGCGGAAGAATCTGCAGCAATTTAGCGCATCCGCTCGAGTCTCTACCCAGCAACTCGCCGCAGCACCGCTTGCGGATTGGGTGATGGTGATGTGCGCGGTATGGTTAACAAGATGCGCGAGGGCCATATCTTGCCAAATCGGCAGCGAACAGTTAGGCAGATGGGCGGCACTCTGTCCGGCTTATGTCAAGAAAGGCCAGAATCACCACACACTCTCGCAGGGCATGGTCAATGACGCACATCTAATGCGATCTCTGAGAAAGACATGTCTTCCAGCTGCCATTTTGTTAGCGTTAGAAGACGAACATGGCGAGCCAGAAGCAGACGCTCGATATTTTCGTTTTCACCGCAACCAAAGTTCCGAAATTGTTGCTGCCTTTTGGGAGGTATCAACTGCATGGGATGTCGAGGAAGGAGGTGGTCGAAACATCGACCAAACTAGCATGGCCTTCAGCTTGACCCCTTTCCCAACGAGGTCCGTGAACGGGGTCTCGAAAACGGGAGCAGCGCTAGCACTACATTCGAACGCAGCACGCGTCATTGCAGAATCTGACAAACTTGCCGTGTATTCAGCAGAAAGGGCGCTAGGCTTGCATGGCTCTTCAATCGGAGCGGGTTTCATAGTGTCCTGTATGAGAGAAAACGAAGAATCTGCTAGCTCTAAATCCGAAAGCCCAGATTCCGATCGATCCAAGCAGCTGAGAACGTCGGAATGGTGCTCATACGACCTCGTTACCGGACGCCCACTCCCGCCATGGGCCCCTCTCCGAAGGTGCATTGTTACGGGGTTGCTAGCTGCCGAAACTACGCAACACAAAACTGATTCGCGTTCAGTGAATGCCGCAGCTCCATGGATTGCCAAGTGGGCAACAGAGTCACCATTTGGGGGTCGCTGGGCGCGGGTTCCGTCTCTGGACTTACAGAGATATGAACTACTGCCTGCCGTTGCACAATCAACTAAAGAAAGACCGGAGAGTGGTGGTTATTATCAGGTCAAACAACGGTTGAAGACGGAAGAGACTTTGGGACCGACAGGACCAATAAGTAATTCCATGGCTCCGCCAAACAGGCACGTGAACCATACGTCCGCTGTCTTAGGAAACCCACACGGTTCCACCACAACTGCTGCGGCAGCCGCCGCGGCTGCTGCGGCAGCGGCTGCTGCTGCTAATGGGGTAAACGGTTTACCGGCACATTTGCTACCAAATACAAACTCGCAAGGTCACCCTGGGATGTTGGGAGTGGTCGGAAACCAAGCAATGCACGCGAGTATGAGGGCATCAGCAGTCTCGTCGGGTGGTCTCCGAGTCCACGCATCTCCAGGAATGTCAACTGCATCGAGCACGACAGACCCTGGGAGCTCAACATCAAAGCAAGCTCGCAAACGTGGTTCCTCGGGTGTCAGCCGTGGGAGAAGCAAGAAGAAAACAGCAACTGGCGACCGGACTCCCACAGCAAGTCAGATCAGTGATCTAGCCACATTACCAATACCAGGGCTTCAGACTTCATCTCCAGCTCAGATGAATGCTATGGCTCGCACGAATTCCATGGCTGACGCAGTGAGCACGGACACCAGATCAACTGTAACAGCTGCCACAAATGCCACTGCGGGCCAACAGGATACTAGCAAGCCTAAACGAACACGGAAGCGAGCCAGCAAGGCGAGACCAGTGCCTCAAAACGCAGCAGCGACTGCGGCTGCTGCAACGGCCGCGGCTGCTGCAGCTGCGGCCGCGGCTGCTGGGGCTGACGCTTCTGGGTCGATCAGTAATTTGGCACTTCCCTCATCGGTACCAACACCTGGGCAACCGAATGTTGTGCAGCAAGCTCACCAGATCACATCCGCCATGACAAATAAGCGACAGCCACTGCAAAGCCAACGGAGCAAACAGCAAGTTGCCGAAGAAGCGGCGGCAGCGGCGGCGGCGGCGGCTTCAGCTCACTCAGACAAAACAGCAGGTCGGGGCACTATTTTGCAAGGTAGTTTGCCGTCGGACGGTTTAGGTGGTTCCCCGATGGCCAAAGGCAATGATGTAATGGCCCAGCTTGGATACGCCAATGCTGGCATTTCTAACTCCATTGCGATGTCACCAGCTCAAGCCTCGGGGCTTAGAAGGGAAGTGCAGGGTATGGGAAACTATGCTGCTATAAACATGATGCGAAATAATGCAGCCTCAGCCGGCTTGGGGATGCCGGTAGGACATTCTGGTTTACAACAGAGCAGTTTTGGTATGAGGGAAGACCCCAACCAGGGGTTTAACGGCGTTGGAAACCCTATAGCGAACAACTTGGCTCTCTTGCAGCAGCAATCAAGTGCAGTGCCTCTAGCAAATCAGATGGGGCCAAACTCGGACTACCAATCTATTCTATCGTCTATGGTCTTTCCGCCAAATACACCCCAGGAAACGATTTCAATCGCTCTGCACGCTGTGTCAAATCGATCTACATTGCAGGAGTCCTCAAATGCCCAATCTGCTGCAAACGCCGTACAAGACTCCCCCTCGGGTGCAAACGCTCAGTCTTTTATGGGATCAACTGGACTTAGTTCAATGGATCCCAACGTCATTGGACAGAATTCTATGATTCCGAACGTCATGGGTGTCAATCCAGTGATACCGCAGCTAGCAGCTCAAAATCCAAGAAATGTATTCGGATTAGCGTCGATGGGTTCCATGGGTCTTCCTTTGGGGAACCCGAGAACCAGTGCCGCTGATTCAGTTAGTTCCGTACCGACAAGGGTTAATAGAAAGGGAATAACCAATGCCGCACTGGGTGTCCAAGCATCAAACCACTCCGGGGAGAGAAATTTTGGTCCTATGGGAATGATGAGCGCTGAACCAGTGAGTGCTGCTCCTTCTCAAAATGGCCCAAGAACAAATGCTCTGGCAGAACGCGGGAAGCGTCTTTGGCAAGGAGAGCTACTTTTTCGAAGCCATGGTAACAACGTCAGGGCTCGATGCGTAGCTATACAAGCCACAGCATCTAAGAGAGCACAATTATGCGAGGCGTCAGGATGGCCAGACAGTTTGTGCTGTGATTCCTCAATACTCAAGGGTTATCAAGAAGTCCTCAGCCAATTGACTGATTCCTCCGCCCAGTGGGTTGCGCGATTTATACCTGTTGATAGCGACGGGAATGAGATGCAAGTTTCGGAGCTGGTGAATCTTGTCACGATGATGGTGCAGAAGAACTTGGCTTTTGAAGTTGCGTGCAATAAACCGGGAGGAACACGAGGCACTCTCTACTTGTGGGGCCAATCAAGTCCAGCAAACGGTCTAATCCTGTTGGGCGTATTTCTTCCATCGCCTGAGTTAGGAGTGCGCCAAGAGCTAGAAATGATGATGGCAGCTGGGGGATCGAAGTAGGTATGGTTTGGATGTTAAGTGCAATCAAAGTCCGCCTACCCTCTGTAGGCGGACAACAAAGTACTTCTGTAGAGAAAAATTAGTCGCTAAGCTCAACTTTCTAATAGTGCACATACGTAAAAAGTATAACGGTGTCATTCATGCCATCGAACTTCAAACGAGAATGGTATACAGCTTCAAACCAGACAGGCTCTGGGATTTGCTTCTGAGTCCTAGCTTAAGAACCGGTCCTTCATATGTAGAACAGATGCGTTTAGCTGTGTTGATGTGCAGGGGTACTCCCCAGTAGTGCACATACGTGCAGGCTAGTAGAATTTGCACTTTTGTGAGACGTTCGGAAGTGACAATGTCTATGAAGAAAAATCACAGTGAAGGCAGCGTATGAAGGCAGCGTATGTTTATTTATGCAAAACAGCGGGTTTTCAAGCTTGAAACCCTCTTTGCATTAACGTTGTCCGTAAAATAACGTGTTGTTTTTTCCATTTGCCCACAAACTCGCTGGACGTAAGTAAACCCGAGTTCGAAAAATCCCACCGCGAGTTTTGCGGACTGACCAAGGTACTGTACCCGCCCGCAACAAACGGAAGTCTGGTACATCGTTGTGCCGCCCGACGGATCACGTGCACCTGCGCGAACTCGCAGCCAAAACTCGCGTTTTCGTGACTATACGGACAACGTTATTGTATTAGCTATGATGAAGTTGAATCCATGAACAGATTTTCGACGTTCCGCATCGCATTTGTACAAGAGCAAAATAATAACAGTGCTAACACCTTCCGTTAGCCGAAGCGCACCCCCTGAGTATGAAAGGATCGTAAAAGGGTTGTGAAGTCCTGAATACTCATCTCCTTGCTCCGAACAGTGGCAAAATCTGTTTCTTTGAGTACCTTGTCCACTGATTCTCGGAGTGCTTGATTGATGCCCTTCTTTGCTGTTTTTGACCTCCCAGAGCTTGCGTCAACATCCATAGCCTCCTGAACATTATCCCCGACCTTTTCCGAATCCTCCTCTTGCATGTCATCTTCCTTTCCATCTTCCCTGCCGAGACTTGCAAATAATGTGGACAGGGCTTGGCCTTCATCCGCCATCAGCAATTCGCTATCGCCAGTCGTCGCGTTCAACCCAGGAGTGAGGGTGCCATCCTCACCCAAGGTGCCAAGAGAATGCGCGGTTTTCCTCTTTTCCTCAAGCATTCGAAGAACGGATTTTTGCAAGAAAATTGCGCGCAGCATCCTATTCTTTCGCTGGAAACATATACGCAGCATACCGTCCCACTCTTTAAAGTTAATGAGTGGCGGAGGGTTTCTCGGTTCGATTCGGACGACGGATGATTCTACTTTCGGTGGGGGGCGAAAGTTATTCTTCGCGACCTTCATTAAATGATTGACTCTCGCAAGAAGCTGCACATTCACAGACAACCTGCAGTACAGGTTATCGCCCGGTTTCGCTGTTAACCTCAAGGCAAATTCTCTCTGAAACATGAGCACTGCTGCTCTAAACATTGGACGGTGAGCTAAAAGCCGAAAGACCAGCGGGGATGAAATCTGGTAGGGCGTGTTGGCAACGCAAAGATCGAAATATGGCAATTGATGCTTGAGCACATCACCCTGAATAACTTCAAGGCGATTTTCCCCTGAAGACCCTTGAACGCGCTTGTAAACTTCTACAATCATGCGAGGATCCACTTCATACGCGACGACCTTACGGGCGGCGTCAAGTAGTTTGATGGTGAGGTTGCCTGTTCCTGGCCCAACTTCCAAGACTGTGTCAGTCCGCTTGACACCCGCCTTGGCGACAATTGCGTTGACCACCATAGGGTTACGCAGAATATGCTGGCCATGGACCTTCTTGAAGTCGATGCCTCGATGTCCAAGGACAGATTTTGAGCTGTTCTCTTTTCGGCGTCGCTTGACTATTCTTCCCATTATTGCTTCTCGGACGACTCGCCTGCCGGATTCCTACACGGGATTACGCCTCTCACAGGCTCTCTCTTTGGCTGCAACTGCAGGCAAAGTAGGAAACAGAAACAACCGTTGTCGAAGCTACGCCCTTGTATTGCACGCCACCGCCGTCGGGGCTTCAGAGGTTTGGTGCCGAAGTGGTGCTGTTTAGATATGATTACAATGAAGGTGCCTTGCTGGCGACGGCAGGGGAAGGAGGTGGAGAAAAGTAATAGGTTGTTATATCCGTGTCCACGTGTCTGATCGAACAGCCCTTTTCCAATGAGGAGATCACAGAGAATTCGCAACAGGTGTGCTCTCATGTGAGGCATTCAGGTGAAGGGCTAATATGCCAAGCGTCACATCGCCTCCTCTGACCATCGAAAGGCAAGAGGAAATGTTCCCGCAGTTCGCTGTTGCCGTCTTGCATCAAGATAAAACCTTTCATTCTTGTACAAAGCAATTCACTCCCACTGAACCGTTACGCTAGTCGCCTCTACTCTCTCCCCCTAACGGAGAGCACTGCCCGTTTGCGGTTTTTATTTTGAACCACGACTCCTTCATCTTAACTCTGCACGTGTTCACATCCCGACTCGCCAGTTACACATCCCCGGATGATATCCGACCCTCATACGCTCACACTTTCTCCTCTGCGCACCCCAAAATTCCCCTCGAATTCAGAGCCTTCACACCACCTGCACTACACCGCACCCCGCCCTCACAAACATGACTCGCAACAAGCTAACTCCCCGCCGGCTGATAGCTAAAACCTCCGGCGCCAAGTCCACCATCTCTGTCTACAAACCCCGCATCTCTCTTCCCCCCCTGCCCGCCACTGAAGTCTTCACAAGCAACACTGGCGTGCGGGGCGAGCTTCTCCGTCTCGGCCACCGTCGCCATTCTCTCCCCCTGACCGCCCCAAACGCTGCTTCTCACACCCACGTAGTGTTCCTTCCTGGGAACCCTGGCATCATCGAATACTACCGCCCCCTCTTGCGCTCCATATTTCATCGTCTGCCGCAGGATGTCAAGGAGAAATGCACGCTGCATGGCGTCGGTTTGCCGGGACACGATTTGCGACAACTCAACGACTTAGCAGAGTTCGTTGTTGAAGATCATGTGCAGTACTGCCGCTCGTATCTGCATTCAGACGAGATTTCACCTCCGATTGCGGGCAGTCGCACTATATTCATCGGACATTCTTATGGTAGCTTTCTGGCGATGCGCCTATTCGAGGCACTGGGGAAGAGTGTCATTGAGAATGCCGCCTTTGTCATGCTCATGCCCGCGTTACATCAGATGGGGGCTTGCGCGGGTGCCATCGCGAGGGGCTTGTTAAGCGACAAGTGGGCGACGACGACATGGGCAGCGTGGGCTGTCACGGCTTTCACGCCACCAGTGCTAAGGGAACGGATCGTGGAAGCGCTGGGACATGATAGAGCTGTGTCAGATGTGACGAGCACTATGCTAGATGGGAGAAGACGGGGGCTTTATTTGAACATTTGCAGCCTTGCGCGCGACGAAGTGACAAAAATCTTGGAGCCCGAGGATTTAAGGTACGCCAAGGATATCGGAGAGAGGTCTTTGCTTGTGTATGCTGATGATGACAAGTGGTGCACGCAATTGGGAATTGACAAGATTCAAAAGGCCTTCGGTCCGAAATTGCAGTCCCAGGGCGCTGGCGAGGGCGTGCAACATGCTTTCGTGCTCTCCCAAATGGAGACAGACAAGGTTGCCCGCGATCTGGCACCATGGATTAGCGAGAAGATTCGTCGATGAAACGTTATTACTTGTTCGGAAATTTTCCTCCTTTTCGGACGAGGATTCAGGATACGAGCCAGAAGAAGCTGTAACGTGCAGGAGCAGGGCACGTCACAGCTTCTCCTAACTCGGCAAACAAGATGCGAGTGAGTGAAACCGTCCTTGCATATTACAAATAGACCCTTAAGCACAACTCTATCGAGTGACTACGTCTAGAGTGAAGCATTCAATTGATACTCCGTACAAAATGGTAATATTTAAAGATACTGTACGTTTATTAGAAAATCTTCTGCCACTAGCAAGTGTCTATCTGTTACCACGCGTTATCATAACATAAAAATCTGTGAATTTTGTTTCTTTTCAACTTTGATGTCCACGGTTTCTATTTTCTTTGGTGGGTTGCCTAGTATAAATTGTTCTGAAGTTAAAACCGAATAGAAAGACGCTACGCAATGTTTCAATGCTACTGTTGTAAAATTAGCTTCATCTTTATGTGCTTCAGCGAGCTGTTTTTCTGTACAATCGACGAGCGAGTGTTTTACAAGTGGTGATGGCCTTCTAATTTTAAAAAATCGAAGTGAAATCGGGCATTGCGTTGCCTAGAAAAATAAAATAATTTCTGTCCTCATAATATGAGGACAGAAAATATTTTATTTTGAGGACCAACGGTCCGATAGGAACTAATGTTTATCGGACCATTGTTCTCATATGAGGACACTTTTCGACTTATTTTTTCCTGACTTGCGCTTTCTCGACAAGACGGAAAAAGATACCTCCGCCATCGCACTCGACTTCTGATGTATGGAAGGAAATAAGTTACTGAGAGCTTCATTTTTTCCTGCTCGTTTTTAGAAATGTCTTGAAATGAAGCTTTTTCAACCACTTTAATACCGCATGTAAAATAGCATGTAAAGATAGCGTCGAAACAAAAACGCCAATTTCAAAGGCAACTAAGCACTCAATTTGCATTATATTATTAATCTTTCTGTGCATTCGAAACTGCTATCCGGGTGTTCTGCAAGATGTTATTGCCGAAAACAAGTACGTTTTGGAAACAGAGTCGAAGATAGCTTTTCAAACTTGCAAATTTAATTTACATATTTTTCAAGAAAAGAGCTGTCCCCATATGAGGACAAGACCCGGTCGGATAGACATTAGCTAGTAGGGGCTAGCTGAAGTGCCCAAGTTAGTGTGGGAAAACCTGAGAATGTAGCCTCTTCGGACTTAAAGAGGAAAAAGCTCTTGTTCGAAATGAAACGATTTATTTAGAGACGCCTCGGTGTCCTAAGTGCTAATTGTTCGCATAAGAGTAGTGTGCCAACTTTAGTACGAGTGGCCCCACTACGGTAAAGACGAATGAAATTTAGAAGGCTTCGAAAGCCTATTTGCTACTGTAGAGAGTCTTTGAGAAACATCTTTGGAGCTTTTGAGCCTCAACGTTTCTTCCTCTTGCATTGTATTCAAAACTGCTATTCCGTAGTTTCAAAAAATGCCAACGCCAATGCTCTGAAGACAGCCCAGCCCAAAAGTGCAAACATCCCTCGACTGCCCACGAGCACTAAATTTCGTAGATGAGAAAATGCATCACACGGTAGTGCTCTTTAAAAGAGACAGAGATATATCGAAAATGATACTGTGGATATGCTGGAATCGTTGTCCGCAATTTATCCAATACGTGTTACTCTTAACTGTGTTTAAAATTACATGCGTCGTGAGCAGCTCTCTGGCTGGAGATTTGCGCTCATGATGCTTGCATGATGTTTTTTATGTCTTTTATGTGATACACACTTTGCCGAACTGTTCGGCGACCTCTAAGAAGTCGATTGCCCAAGCAATCTTGATTCGTGTGGCCTCGGCGGTGCAAGTTTAACATAAATTTTACAAACAATGAAAATGTCAGAGGAGATATATAGTGGCGAATTGCTGCCATGTGTACAGCATGCACAGGCGCGCATCGTCACCAGTGACTCACAGAGCACATGATCAGATTACGGATGTGTCTGTTGACTACACTGTAATGCCCCCCGTTGTCGCCCTTGCTGTCAGTCACCCTCACCGCGGCGCAAGCCCCGAGTATTAGATGGGTGACTGGCAGCGCTGCGTAACGTCTTCTCTAGCTAGTCATCCGTTTCTCAGCACCACCTGCAGAGAAACGATTTTCCCCGCCTCCTCGAGGCGTACATCGACCTGCCTGCCGCCTTCAGCTCAGCGGGCCGGCAGGCGTTCCGGCGTCAGCAGGTCCAGTCCATTCGCTTCGCCGCCGAACTCGCGGGGCGTCGTCGGGGTGGACTCAACGCCCCGCCGGCTATCCGAGGCCTTCTCCGAGGCCCAGCACCCGCCAGTAGCTCTACCTCAGCACAGACCCCATCCACCAGGGGTCGAGGGCGCGGACGGGGACGCGGACGTCGAGGGGGTGGGAGCAACCAACCACAATGGGTTCAACGGGTCGACTGACAGACCCTCCCTCGGTGCGGGTGGGCAACTCGTACAGGGCGTGGGAGGACGTAGGTCCGAGCCCTTGGTTGGTGAGGCAGTTGAGGTTCGGACTACAACTGCCGTGGATGAAGGAGGTGCCCTAGCAGCGCCCCCGCCCGTACCCGATGGCGAGGGAGGACGGGCTGTTTGCGAAGGAGGAGTCTACGCGTTGGTTGGAGATGGGGTTTGCGCGCAGGGCGACGGAGTCGGAGGCCCGCTTGCTGATGCGTACCAGCCTCATCTTCCCATCATTCGTCACACAATCGGCGGGGAAGAGGAGGCTGGTCATCAACTACAAGCGGGCCAATAAGTGCATGGAGGCGAGGACGTTCAGGATGGACCAGATATCCGACCTCGCCTCCGTGCTGGTGAAGGTCGATCACCTCTTCAAGGCCGATATCAAGGACGCCTACTACCACCTGCGCATAAGAAAACAAGATCAGATGCGGTTGGCCTTCTTCGTCGGGACTGCATCTATCTACCGCTTTGTCTCAACTGTGGCCTCGCCGTGGCCCCGTGGTTCTTCACCAAGGCAGTAGCTCCCGTCTTTGGGTTTCTACGCAAACTGGGCCACCGTGTCTTCTCCTACCTGGACGACTTCTTTGGTGCCGCCAAGCCTGCACCAGGGAGTCGCTGCGCTGGTCGCAGGGAGACCCGCCAGTTCGGGCGCATGATGCGGCTTCTATTCGAGAAGCTCGGACTACTGCTAAACCCGCTGAAGTGCTTCTTCGAGGGCTCTACGCGACTCGAAGTCCTCGGCATACTCGTCGACACCGATGGGGAGCGCTTCCTCCTACCCCCGAAGAAACTCGCCGCGATCGACCGCAGCGCCGCAGCCCTACTCAAGTACGCCTCGCAACACCGCCGCTACGTCAAGCGAAAGGCGGTGGAGCGCTTCGCTGGCTTGGCCAACGCTACCGGGCCCGCGGTTGTCGACGCCCGCCTCCGCCTCCGCGATCTGTTCTTCGCGTTGGGCAGCTCCGCCGATGGAGCTGCGGAGCGCAAGGAGCAAGGGCAAAGTACGCAGGGGGGGCCTCAGCGAGCCCGGGCGAGCCCCCCCGAAGTACTTCGCCCGCAGCGACGCAGCGTGCAGCAGCTTCATGTGCCCTGCCCGGAACGGGTCAAGGGCTTGGCCGCGCGGGCGCCTCAAGTACAGTGACACCGGGCGCTCCGCGCCCGGGCCCGCCGCAGGCAAAAAATTTGAGCGTGACGAAACGAAACGTGACGAAACGAAACGTGTCGAATCGAAACGTGACGAACGGAAAAGTCACGGTCACGGTGTGGTTTCGACGACATGGCGCGGGGCGACGAGGCGATCTGCACCTCAGTCACGCAGCGATGCGCGACTTGCAATGGTGGGGACGGCTAAGCAGCAACCCGCACGTGGGGCGCGCTATCTGGCCGCACCCTGACGCATGCCTCTTCACGGATGCCAGCATGTCGGGGTGGGGAGCCACCTGGCAAGGGGAAGTGCCGGCGTCGGGTTTCTTTGGCGAAGAGCAGGAGGGCGCCCACATCAACGAGCTGGAGCTGAGGGCCGCCCTCCTTGTGGTATAATTCCACACCGCGACCCCCGGTGGGAGATGAGAACCACCGAGACGGGCGGTTACTACTGTAGTAATCATGCACGCGCCTCTGCAAGCACAGTAGTACCTCCACAGCGTACACGTGACACAACCGTTGGCGCCGGTCGTGGCCACGGGCACACGTGTGCGACCCATCCGGTAAGTAATTAGCAATTAGTGGTTTATGGCACAAATTAGCCAATTTAGTAC